TTAATTTGTTTACGTTTATTAAAATTTGCATATACTGTACACACAATTTAAAAAATAATTATAAAATACACTATTTAAAAATATGTAATAAAATTGAATAGGTTGTTTAAAAATTGTTTAATAAAATCGTCAAACGCCAGACTTTAAGTACTGTGTAATAATCTATTACTGAAATAACTTTTATTAAAGAAAACATTTCATTTTCAAAGTTAGACTACTTATTTTTAAAAGTTTTTCCATAAAAATTAATTTAACACTATACAAAATGACATTTAACCTTTATATCTTTGCTCAATAGAACTTTAATATTATTTATACTTTCTAATCAATTACAAATTATTACTTTATATTAAGATAAACTTGAAATTTAGATTATTTTACAGGTAATGTATGATATTTTATAAATATAATAATATATTAATAGTTACTTTAAATAATTAGGGTTAAAACTTAGAATTATCAGTGTAGTACATTATATTAATCTATAAATAGCTTGGAAAAATAATGCTTATTTGTTTATTACTGGTAGATTAACAGGTTGTGAATTAAAGACAAATTCTTGAATAAATATAGTGTCAGAAGACACAAACTTACGTCAATCCAAACAATATTAGAATTTCCGATTGAATTAAATGAAATATTGATAACAACTACAGATTCAATAAAAACTAAACCTCATAATATGAGGCTCATATACGACCTCATATGCTATTCTTATATTTAATTAAGTTGTTGAGAATTGTAGTGATATAAGTTAATTGATTAAAATTTAATGCTTATCCAAACATCATAATACACTTTCCAATTAATATAAAAATAAGCTTTTGCACAAATTTAAGGTTATTCTGTATTAGGAATTCTGTAACAAAATGACAATGTCAGATTTATTACTATTTGTAAAATTAGTCTTGCTAATAAACAGCGTGTTGTCGGATATCGTACAAAACCCAATATATCCGGACAAAGAACTGAGTTTTCGTAAGAATAGGTGTTATGAGACAAAGGATGAACAAACAGACTTCTATAATACGCTGACAATGACTCCATACAAACGGTTTCAAAGACCTGGAGTGAAGGAAGGGTTCAGTACAATGGATGACCCGCTTTATGTAATACACATTTTAAACACAAGAATATTCTTGAATATAGTTTCAAACTATAATTAAAGATAAACGTGAGTTTGGATATGAGTTCGTTGGCGTCCATCGACGACTTGAACTCAGAATACAGTCTCGTATTGACGATGGACTTGGAGTGGTATGACGAGCGCCTCCATTTTGACTGTTCAGATGAGGACATACCGGTGGTGTTAAGTATGGAGCCGGGACAACATTCCAGGATATGGACTCCTAAACTGGGTGTTCCCGGTGTTAAAGAGCCCGGCTCTGCTGAATTTAACTCTCAAACTGTGATTGCTTTCAAACTCGGAACCAATGGCTATATATTTATTAGATCCCGGTGCCTATTATTTGTTCTCTATTTAATAAACTTAATTAACTTAAAGACTAAACTTAATGATCTTATATCTGAACCAGACTTCAACTGAAGCTCTTCTGTCAGCTATACTTCGAGAACTATCCGTTCGACTCACAGAAGTGTTCAGTGAAACTGGAGGTCAGGGGTCTGCCCGACGAGAATGTATGGCTTCGGTGGCGGGAATTGGATGCCTTCCGGAATGCCGAGCGCTTCCATATGAGTGGCTTTTATCTCATAGGCTATGAACTGCTTAACGATTCCGTTCAGGTCCTCGACCTCTTTGAAGACGATAGGGTCTCACGAGTCATTGTTACGCTACATATGCAGCGGGAATGGCATCACTTTATACTCGATGTGTTTCTCCCATCAGGACTTTTTGTGATGATGTCGTGGCTGTCATTCTGGTTGGAAATAAGTGCCGCTCCCGCGAGGGTTACATTGGGTGAGTTGTATCACATTTACACTAACAGATTGTAAGTGTGTTTTTCATTTTTGATGGTGTGATTGATGGGAAAGGGGTGACAACTATGCTAACATTGGTTACTAATTCGATGTCAACGCGAGAGAAATTGCCAAAAGTCAAATACATCCACTCATTGGACATATGGATAACATTCTGCACTTTTATAGTGTTTGCGTCTCTCATAGAGTTTGCAATCGTTAGTTATCTGTACCGCTCGGACAAGAATCGTCGAC